AACGCGATCGCACGCGATATGCCTGGTTAGGCGGCGAGAACACTCGCAAAAGCTGCAGATTCTGCTCCGTCCAGGAGGGGAACGCCACTTTAGCCGAGGTATCGCACGTCAGTGTCCATTCTTGCGATCAGCTCCTGAGCCTAGAGATAGCTAGCGCCACGCACCGTCGCTCGTTCTGAAGCATGGCGGATGCCATAGCCATCTCGGCCTCTCGTACCCAGATTAGGAGATTCTCCTCATCCTTACCCTCGAAGTATCATGAGCGGCTTAAGTCGGAAGCTTTCATCCATCGTCAATGGTGGCGTCATGGACGCAGTTGACGCCAACATATGGAGTGGCCAGGGTGGTCACGCAGATATTGTGTTGATACATCAAGTGGTGTCCGGAACTGACCACCTAAACCGAATAATTCGTTAGTGAATATGGTTATTTGCCAAGCGAGAAGAATTAATGAGTGAAAGATGCCGGTTTTTGCTCTTCTGCTCTGGGTGCTCTAGCAGAGCATCTCCATAGCTCGAAAACGCCTCTAGGCGCGCGCTTACCGCTTCGGATCTTTGCAAAGCAAGGTGTTGCACACCCTCAGCAGATAGCTTTTGAAGCCCGTCCTGCATACCCTGGGTCAAAAAATAAAACTGCTTCATCCGCACAGAGGATCAGTCGTAACCACTCAGGTGTAGATTGACTACAAGTGCTAGCGGGGCTGCCGTACCTCTTTGCTTAGAGGAAGCTTACATAAGGTCACTGACCTTCGTTTTAAACCAGAACCAGTACGAGTGTAGCGGATCGCAATCCGCTACCACCTAGAGTACCCACAACCTTAAACCAAGGCAAATATACTCTTCAGTTTAAAATGCAGACTGTATGTATCTGTTCTATTTTGCGGCAGCGCCGCCTGTATTTGCAACCTTAAGTTTTTTCCAATTAAATAGTATAACCTAATTTATATGCATAACCACTGGCAGTCCCGCCACGAGGTGTCTCAGGCAAATGAGACTTGATTAATGTAAGACCGCAAGATTTGGTTGATTTGGATTAGTTTCATTATGATCGCAAATCACGTTCCCCCAAAACAAGTATTTACGATTGTAAGATCTCAAAACTGTCGGCAATCATCGAAATTGACTCTAGTAAATTGTGTGTGATTCTCTGCGTCATATTTGTTACGGTCTAGCCACACCATTGTGTGATTATACCGACTTGTGTAATCCACACCCTTGTACGGTCACACCATCTTTTGTGATTCACCCTTTCATCCCAGGGTCGTGTTACCCCGTTACAACAATGATTCAGATTTTGCGATATAGCGAAATGCGTGTAATGTTATCTCGTCCTGTGACTAGGTATGGCGTGGTTGGAGTGCCGCGAACTATGGGTTTATGGGAGTCGAAAATGTTGGGTGTCACCACATTTCTCTTGGTTTAGCGCTGGCGGACCATGGACCCACCTCTGCAATGAAGCATTAGCCCTTTTGACGCAGGCACAAAACTGCAAAATCTTCTGTGTAGGACAAGAATTGTTCGAAATCGCTAGCAATGAAACTGATATGTGATACCGGTACGATACTGGAGGCATGAGCCAAGGTTTCAGGAGGAGACAGAAACAAAAATTTGTATATTGCAACGATGACAATATGATGTGAACTTTCTGTTATGAAGGTAACAAATTGCTGAGATTTGTTATTCCTGTGCCAGAATGGGAGTAACTGGGTGTTGCCTTTTTTCGTTTTAAAGACGGTGGTTTTGAATGCCTACTCCAAGTCACAAGTTGAGTCGCCAAGTCGTAAATTGACGAGAATGATTCGACCTCGACACGGTGAAATGGAAGTGATGATCCGAACATCGCGTAAGACACGCCCAACTAACGGAGAAGTGAAGTATCACGGGTAAGTGGGAATAAAAATCATGTACTCGTGAAGGGCTGTTCTAGGAGCTGTATGGCGTCCCTCTCTACCCCCATGCGGAGCGTCTCACAGAGCTGGAGGGTTTGTCCTTACAGGATTTGTGCGCCCAATCGCAATTGAAGCTGGCGGAATGGCTCTGTTGATACCATAAACTCTTGATACGCCGTGATGGCGTAAATAATTGATGAAAGAATTCCCTTATTAATTCTCTAGGGTCTTATAGATCCTTTGTTTCTTCATAGAAGGAAGATTCCGACGTGGTGACGAGAGAACCACCACGCGTATTCTTCCTAGATAGAAACATGTGTCTTAGCGTTAACTTTTTTTGAAATCAAATGTTGACTCATGATAATGGCTCAAACCAAAGGAATAGTGTGACGTCGTTGATGCTTTCTTTCGCGCAAATCGGTTTTGGGGAGAGAGAGAAAGTATCAAGACTCTGTGCTGGCCTGCTGTGTAAGAAATTCTAGCGGCAAGAGATGAATTGGACATGCTTATAGGAAGCTAAATGCAGCCACGATTCCGTTGTAATCACTTATTTCTAGAAACGTTATGCTACGAATACGCATGATTAATTGCGCTTTGGTATAGTTGCTGGGTCTTACTAACTGTACCGTTGAGATTTTAAAGCAAAAGGTGCTGGGAGTGGCTAATTATTGCAAGAAAACTATTTGATGCTCCAGCGACGATTGATCGTCTGGTCTTACAGCTGTTCAGGCTACATCATGGCTATAATCAAACCTATTTTGCGGGTATGTCTGGCTGTAGCTGTACAGATGACGGGAAGCTGGATATGGAAACTCTCATCGAACGCTTACGAGTGGTCTTCGAGTTTGGGCTCATACAATACTACTTGTAACTTTTAAGTGTGCCCTCGCCGCCTGCAAAATTTTTTTTGGATTGCTTCTTTACATAGCAGGGGCTCGGGTAGATACCGCAACGATAAAAGCTATTGTCGATCGGCATGTTCTGTCCTGATAGGACACCAACTTGCACAAAAGCAGTGCAAACAATGCCAACATTGTACGATCCCTCACCGTTCATTTTTAGCTGTATAGCTGTCATAACTTTCGAACGAGGCAGCAGGGGCAACCTTACGGTCTTGGAAGCGAATCTCACGCATGACACGATTCTGCTTATTTAAATGAAGAATGGTCAATCCACGTCGTTTTGATGCTTCAACCGTTAAAGAAGGGTGTGCTCCAATCAGTTGCCAGGACTGTAAAGGAGCTTGTACTGATGAGGTTTTACCTCGAATACCGCGAAATGTTTTGTTCTTTGGAAAGTCTAGATTAGTCGACTCTCCAGGCAAAAGTTGGCTTGTAAAGCCCTAGACGGATGAGATGGCAGGTTTTCTTCATCCAGCGCATAAAATCATTCATTTACGCATTAACGCCAGCTTCGTGTGCTCAATGTACATCCCTCATGGAGGGTATGGGGTTCTTAACTGCTGCTGCTCCAATTGCAGACGGAAATTATGGGGTGTGATGGCTTTTAGGCTATGAAAGCGCTTCCAGAGTGACTTCTTTCATGGCCACATGCCCTGGCAGTGAGCAGTAGTACCACACACATAGCCATCTAAAAGAATGCGGTAAGTTTCGTTGAATGGTTTGAGATTGTAATCACGACGTAGCTGAACAATGGATAGCGAAAATCTTACGCTTGCTAAAAAAACTCGGGCCTCTTGAACGAGGTCTGATGTGTTGGTAACGAACAGGATATTGTCGTGGTATCTATGCAGAGTGTCAAAACACTTCCTTCTGATCGAAGTGGCAAGATGCCTAGGTCGTATGCATCTGGGGAGGTGTGAGCACAGTTAGCGCCTCCTCCTTGCAAATGGCTTGGGCCGATGTAGTCGATGGAAGGCGACATTGCTTTGTGAGGAGTGGGAGTGCACTCTTCCCCCAAGCGTGTCGGTCGCGAAGACAGCGCGTCTAGCGGGGCTTTTTAAGCATATAACCTTTGCGCACAGGAACGGACTCTCGGTAAAAGGACGCTCAGAAGCGTAGGTATAGTAAGAGTCAGAGAGTGAAAGCACAAGCGCCTCGATTTCATGTGGAGCCGCCACTTCTGCGCAGAATCTTATCAAATATTAGTGCGAACCCAATATAGTTCGCATCTTAATGGAGGTGTGTGTAAGGGTAGAAGTGTTATCTTCTGTACTTGAGCCCTATGCATTTATTCCAATTGCATAAATACAACACAGTACCTTACATAATTTGTGAAATTGGGAAGCATCAAAATACCGATATCCATTATTCCGAAGATTACAAACTTTTAAAGGAAGGGGTCCAAAGTATACCTGGACTGCTTGCCGTACGTTTGAACAAAAAGACACATGTATTGTGAGAGATATTTATATGTAGTACTTGTCTAAATATAATTTATGCATTCTTGAAATAGCAGAGTAAACTCACAATGGTAGTAATAATAGAGGCTTTCGGTTCCGCTACTTGTAGAAGCGCACAGTTTTCACCTCTGTGTGCTTCTTAACGTAGACTCTGAGAGTCAAAGCTTCTTCTGTGAAAAATGCGCAGCAGCCTGTTCCACTTGTAATCGAAACTTCATGGAGCAGAACACTTGATGTAACCTTTGACGCGTGGATACATTAATCAGCGCTATAGGCTGGCTTAATATCCTTCTTACAAAAATGCGATCCACCATTGTTGCTCC